TCCTCAGGCACCTTCTTCTCACAATTTTTAATAGTCATGGTCCCAGCCACTAAATATCTTAGGTTTATGAAGGGATCTATTCTTATTTACAAAATCCTCTATGTGAGGTTGACCTGGGCATATCCACAGTCAGGGTCATGTTGAGATAGGTTAGCCCCAGCTATATATTTCTTATTGTATTTCAAGACTTCTTCCTGGTATTTTATCCTTAAGGGAAAAGATGAAGAAGGCATTGTGTTTCCTGTTGTCACTTTCCTGTCCCACATAGTGGTTTTCACTCTCCTTGATCTCTACAGTCTTTAGTATGCACAGAACTATTCCCTAAGCTCCCCTATGCACACGTTTCCCTCACTTGATGGTCTTCCAAGACCAGCCTAAAAGAGGCTATAGGTATCCAGACTTGAGCTTTTGAAAGAAGACTTCCTACCCTACAACAAAGGATCCAGTGTAACTGAAACTGCTCACTGAGCCTGGGTGCTAGTGCTATACTGAGCTCCAGTCAGAGTCTGGGAACTGGGAGCTGGGGCCAGACCAGAAGGCCAAGAAAGAGCAGACTCTTGGTAACTTTGAGAAACCTATTCAGGAATCAGCTAGGGGATAAAATCCTGGATAGCTTCACCATAGGGATGAGGGAGCATTGACTTTGAAGTTAGCATGACTGAATTCACTTGTCGTATACCAAATTTATTAGCTTTGTTGCCTGTGATAAGATCCTTAACTTCTCTGAGCTTCCTGTACAATGGGGCCAGTGATTGCTGCCTTGTGGGGTTGTTTTGAAGACAACAGAGACAAAGTACCTAGTGCACACCTTCTTTCATGGCATCTTTCAGGATCCTTTACTCTCTTTTCCCTTGTGTGAAATCTGAAAGTAGGAGAGTGCTCTGCACAGGGGAGGAAGTTGGGACTTGGAGCCAGGATACTATCTGATTTGGGAGCACATGTCCCAAGGGAAAAAGCATAGGTGAGGAATCTAACAGTTCAATTCAATACCCAGCTCTATCACTGGGTGAGTGAGCACTGCACTCATCCCTTCTAGGACTCTCCTTCTCAGTACACAAGTTGGACTAAATAACCTCTGAAGTCCCTTCTGGGTCTCAGAGTTTTAGGAGGAGGAATTGACCATAGCAGGCAAGGCCCATAGGAAGATATGTTTATGTCCTCCCACAGCCCCTCTGCCAGCCCCTGTGAGTACTCCCTGCAGGTTCTCAGCCCTCTGCCTGTGACCACACAATACCCTGCACTGTCTCCTACCCTCATATCCCACACTCCATCAAGGAGACACATGGTAGTGCCTTGACTACCCCTTTTAAATTAACCAAGCATCATGTTTGAGCCCATGTTTAAACAATTCTTTAAGGGCTCTTTTACTAATTATTTCTTCCCTTTCATTTTATCAGTTCCAAATTAGGAATCACTTATTGCTTTAGGACTTTTTGCTACAGGATTCTATGTGACTGCCCTTTCAACTCACTCCCAGTGACTTTCTCCCAAGGTCTGATCTTCACTGTCTTCATGGAAACTGCTTTTCTGTTTGGGCTCATCTGAATGCAGATGCCTTTCTCAGTTTCACCTTACATAGTTCAAATGATTTCTTGATAACCTTGTCATGGTCTCCATAATATCTCTTTTCAAGAAGATGTCTTTCTTACTGGTTGCCCAGCTTGAGGTAACCATGTTTTGCTTTTATAACAGACTCCAAAACCGGGCTTTCTCTTTCCAACAGAACTGCATGCTTGGAAGTTGAGTGAAAATGTGGAACTCAGGCCATGTGTGCTGAGAAATCCCAGGTGATGTGTTCTGAAAATGCAGATTTCTGACCTCAGGCATGATGCCAAAAAGAAGTTTTAATGTCCAAGTGTTTTATGCTTCAAAGATAGGCCCTTGTGGTTGTTGGTTTAAACTTGCATACTACACAGGAAGCAATCTGATATCCCACTGACTGGAACCCATAAGGTAATTCAAAATTGCTTAGATTGAGGCCAACAACTTTGCTGAAGATTTGATACTCTCCAGAGATCATTGCCCAAAATAGGTGAGTAGAGTAACAAGTTGCTCTACCAGTTCCACACATTACAGGCCAAATTTAAGAATTTAAGTACTAAGATAACTAAGGAAGTTAAGTATTAGGATAACCAAGAATTAAGTGTTCGGATTAGTTTTATACTCAGTATTTTCTGGCATTCCATAGCTTTTTAAAAGTTTCTGAATCCTCATTTTTAAAAGTTGGATATAGTCTTTTTCTCATTTTGTTAACTGCAAAGCAGATAGGTTTCTTCACCAGAAGGGGTGCTCTCTTGTCCCGGTCAAATAAAGGTATAATATTGCCTTTATGGTCCCCTTTCTAGGAGATAACTTCAATTCCACATGGTTGCTTAACCCAATTAAGATATTTCTTTAAAATATCATTTATTTCAGGGATCCCTGGGTGGCGCAGCGGTTTAGCGCCTGCCTTTGGCCCAGGGCGCGATCCTGGAGACCGGGGATCGAATCCCATGTCAGGCTCCCGGTGCATGGAGCCTGCTTCTCCCTCTGCCTATGTCTCTGCCTCTCTCTCTCTCTCTCTCTCTCTCTCTCTGTGTGTGTGACTATCATAAATAAATAAAAATAAAATAAATAAAATAAAATATCATTTAGTTCAATAAATATTTATTGACAATCTGTATATGTAAAGCACTAAAGATGTCACTAAAATGAAGAGATTATGTATCATCTCTCAGGCTTACAGCTTAAGAGACATATTATAGGCAAATATAGATAGATGATAGATAGATAGATAGATAGATAGATAGATAGATAGATAGATATAGAAGGAAAGAGATATTTAGATAGAGATAGAGATAGAAACATACAGTGAAAATTGGTCAAGGAGGAAATTAAAGACCCCAGGAGAATCTTGCAAAGTCTTATGGAGGAAGTGGTGTTTGAGCTGAACTAGATGGGAAGCACTGACACAAATAGAGGTGATGGGAGAGTGTTTCACATGAAGAGGACACCTGAGTCCCCATTCAGGAAGAAGAGGAATGTAGACACAGGTGAGAGACAGGACATGGTCTGCACAGTGTCCATGGGACACAGCTTTAGTAGACTGAGATACCAGGTGAATGTGAATATTTATCCAAGAGGCTCGTAGTTTTTCCCATTCTAGCTGGGTGCTCTGGGATTGCTCAAAGGAATCACTCACCAACATTGTGTAAATAAACCCAGAAAATGCTGTATCAAATTGCCCATGAAGAAGCAACTCCATGGAGAATCAATACCTATTGCAAGCCAGCGTCTGCAATTCTGAGAACCTGCCCCTAGACATTCAACTTGGGCTCAGGTTGGGAGCCATTTTTTGGCTTATTTTGTTAGCTTTGCCTCTTCCAAGCAGGAGTCACACAGGCTGGTTTCAGCAGTATATTCCACTTGCTCTGAAGGTGAACAACCTATATCATTGAGATCCCCTCCTGAGTGCCTCCTGGGGAGTTCTGTGCAGGCCACATACCTCTACATCTTAAATCATCCCATCTCAAACGTGTCCTCCACATTTGATGAAAACCTTTCCATCTGTTTTTACATGATGCAATAAGGCTCTAACAAGAGAAATTTAATTTTATCTATCTAGGTGAATAGAAAGCACCAGTGGGATTGGTGGCATGCTTTAAAAGGCACACTCCAGTGACAGTGAGGTTTATGGATAATAGAATGGGTCAGGGCTGTTAGGAGGATTTTACAATGCTCCAGGCAAGAGGGAACAAGACCTGAATTAAAGCATTGAGACTTAAAAGAAGGGGCAGATACTGGCGGCGTTTTGGAGATAGGATCAAAAGGGTTTGGCAACTGATTGAAGGTGCAAGGAGAGGGAGGAAGAAATGCTCAAGCAACTTCCAAAGGTGTGAGGTTGAGTTAATGGGAGGATGATAATACCATTACACCAGGAAAGGAAACCCAGGAAGAGTGGTAATTCTGGCACTAAGGGGGGTAACTTATGTTGAAAATAACAAGAGTACGCTTGGCTTCTATTCATTGAATTAGTTATAATTAGGGCGACTATATAATTTTACCATCTAAACTGGGACAGTGTTGAGAGAGAAAGGAGATTCTTTCATAATTACACCAGGACAACAGGTCTAAACCAAGATTGTTCCAAGTACATCCAGATGTTTGGACTCCCTATTTATAATACCTCTCAGTGCTCGCCCAGTTGGGGATGAGTGTTAATGAAGCTGGCTCACAGTTCATTGGCCTTAGGATCTCAGAAATAGGGGGTAGCCTAGAAAAACCATATAATATAGCCTCCTGCCACTACTAGAAAGTCCTCCACATTCCATTCCTCAAGTCCAGCCTCTGCAGAAACAATTCCCAGGGACAGAAGAATTACTTTGACATTCAGAAGCCCATTCTGGTTTTGGACAGTGCTAAGTGTTCTTTATTATCCTTAGGTGAAAGGGGCTTTCCCATATACTCCACATGTTGGTTCTAATACAGTTACAGTTCTAATAAGGCCATCACCAATATTAAAACAGCTAACATTAAATGAGCACCTACAAGGGCCAGCCTTACGTGTATTACTTTTTAAGCTCCCCAACACTTGTATGTATAAGGAAGCACCCCCATTTTACAAATGAGACAGCAAACACTGAGAGAATGTTACCTGCCAAAGATACATAGCTCATAAATGGTTGAGTTCCATCTCCATGACCCCAAAGTCCATAGTCTTTCCACAATAACCTGTATCTGATCTGTACCATGTGGACTAAATACAATCACTCTTCCATATGTCATCTCTTATGATATTGGCAAATGATGATTTCTTCCCCTGCTGACCTTATTTCATATTCCATCCCCCCTACATCAGCGATGCCAATAAAGCCCAGCTTTTTTGTTTCAAAATTTCTGGATCGTTCACTTCCAACAGGTTTCAATTAGTAATGGGCCTTTAAAAATGTGATATTTGGGATCAAACCCAACATTTTCGGTATGTCCCAACCAGTCAAGACTACAGCAAGCCTCCTACTTACTCTGTTCTGGGCACAAGGCTTCAGGACAACGTGTAGCTTCTGAAAGTCATTCTTTCGATCTATCTCCATAAGTCCTTCATGATCAGTAGCATATCACATTCATGTCCGGGTGTCAGGTATCTACAGCAGGTCTGCATGTAGAGTGTGGCAGTGTGATGCAATTGGTTGCTAACTCTAAATGCCAGTTTTGCTGATAGTGGGGGCTGTAGACTGTTGTTCTTGCTTGTCAGCACCTCCTTCTGGCAACAGTATCCATATTTCTTTGCCCTTTCCTCCTTTATGCTAATAAATATGAGTCAGATGCTGTCAGTAGGTTCTAGCAGCAGAACTCATCACCTAGGCTTTCCCAATCACATTCCAACCCCTTGCCTTAGGGAATGACATCGTGATGGACACGGTGAACCATATCAGTCAGCTACTGCTGTGATAATGCCATGTAACAAATTATTCCAAAATTCAGTAGCTTATAAATACAGGCATTTGTGTTCTTGCCTGCATTTCTGCAGGTAGCTGAGATTTGGCTAATAAAGCCTCGGCTTGAATGGTGTTGGCTTCAAGTGGATGACTGTATGAGACAAAAAGAAGCTTCAGCATACTTACACAGTTGGCCTTTCTCCCTTACCACACTTCTCTCTTTTGCCATACCTTCAATGTAAGATTTGTTTGTGCAAGGAAGGCAAAGACATATGGAGAAACCCTGGACATAATCACTCACTTGGAGGCAACATCATTCAAGCCTCATCTTTATCAGTCAAATCTCAGCCACCTGCAGAAATGTAAATGAGAAACAAATGTATAAGCCACTGAGTTTTGGATAATTTATTACATGGTTTTATTACAGCAATAGCTAATAGATCTAGTCCACGAGTCAAGGGTTTCTCCATGCATTTTTCATCTTCCTTGCACAAATTTTACATACAAGGCATGCTCTTCTCATAGCAAAAGACAGAACTGTAGCAAGAAGGCAAGCCCAGCTGAGTGAGTACACCCTATCTGTTTGTTAGCATCACAGTCCCTGAACAGATCATGACCAAGGCCATGGCCAAGGGAAGAAGAGGTCTATACTTTGCCTACTTTGAAGAGTTGGCAAAAAGTTATATGTATAATATTGCTATAAGACAGTGAAGAATTATGACCAAGAAATAACTCAATTGACCACAACAATGTAGTCAAGACCACTGAACTTTACTTCTTAGACTTTCATCTGAGTCCTTCAAGAGGCAAACTTTATTTCCAGTGGATTGGGTGCTATGATTAAATGAGCCTTAAGTTTGGGACTACCACTCAGAGCCAGAATTGAGCCAGAGAAAGGAGAGCCCATAGGTGGAGCCTATTGACAAGAGCTGAGCCTCCAATCAAGCTGCACCAGAAGTCAGAGCCACCTGTTGAACATTATTTAGTTATGGGAGCCAATATATTACTTGTTTTGCTTTAACCAATTGAGTTGGGCTTTCTGTTACTCACAAATAAAGGAGTCCTAACAACTATCCTGAATGAGTAAAATTGTCCTCACAAGTGAGCTATAGCACATGATTACTAAGCCTGTAACCACTCTAGCCCAGATTTTTATAGCACAGCCTTCTGGCCCATTCATCACTGCTGCAATCCTTCCTAGGTGGCGTGATGGTATGCAGTGTTTGAAACTAGAAGACCATTTCTTCCTATTTCCTTCAAAGTCTTTTGAGACCTTTCTAGTCATTAGAAGACTAAACTGATTTTTAATGATATTTTACCCTATTAGAAAGCCCCTTTCCCCTTACTTAAAATATTTCTTCATGCTGGAGTGTCTGGGTGACTCAGTTGTTTGAGCACTCTTGATTTCAGCTCAGGTCATGGTCTCAAGGTCGTGGGATCGAGGCCTATGTCAAGCTCTGTTCTCATGGGGACATTTACTGAATTTTGTTATCAGTACTTAATAATCTGCTTGGGATTCTTTCCCTTTCTCTCTCCTCCACCCTCTGTTCCTCCCCATGCTCTCACTCTCTCTCTCTCTGAAATAATAAATAAGTATTTAAAAAACTAAAACAACAAAAACCAAATATTTCTTAATGTAAGCACCTGGTTGGCTCAGTCAGTTAAGTGACTATCTCTTAATTTCTGCTCAGGTCATGATCTCTGGGTTGTGGGATCAAGCCCTGGGTCAGACTCTGGGCTGGGTGTGGAGCCTGCTTAAGATTCTCTCTGTCTCTCCCCTACCACTCTCTCTCTCCACCCCCCCTCACTCCCTTACTCTCTCTCTCTCTGTCTCCCACCATCCTCTCAAAAATTCCTCATGTAACAATTAGGTTTCAACTGAATTTAAAATGCCAGAATAATAGTTCAAAGGAAGGCAGAGTTAGTATATTTTTCAGGCAAAAAAAAAAAAAAAAAAAAAAGAGGGAAAGAGAGGGAAATGTTTTACAATTATATCACATCCCTGGCCTGTACAACTGAGCTTTTTTACTCTATTTAAGATAGAAACAGCATAGTGTGGCAGGAAGCATCCTTACTTTCAGAAGCCAGCAGCTTAGTCCAGGCCCATCGCCATAGTCTGTCTGAGATGCAGTTTCTCCATCTGTTACAAAAGGAACAGTTTCTGTCTCATGTGATTTACAAGATTGTTATAATAATCATTTGAGATAATGAGAGAGAATGGGATATTTTTATTATATTCCTTATAATAAAATCATCTAAATGTAACTAGAGAGAAACCACTTAGCTTGAGCTTCTAGCACATAGTTCATGATGCCTTATGCCATGTAGCTAGATGATTCCTATGATGATATCAACAATTGAAGTGAAAGGGGCCAGATTTTCTAGTGTATTCTTAGGAGCCAGAAAGCCTTTCCCAGAAGCTCCCAATCAAACCTCCCTTCATGATGCATTGGCCAGAGGTGGCTCATATGTCCACAATTTGTAAACCAAAAACTAGGAAGGGGAATAAAACAACTAAGATTGGCTTAGAGCAGACCCACCTTGCACCCAGTACCTTGTGCAAGAGACAGCATCCATAAACAAGATCAAGGTTTATTTCACAAGAAGGGGGTGTGGCACTGAGGTTGGAAGCCAGCAGCATTTGCTACAGTACTTACAGTGCTCCATTATAAATTGCCTGTTTACAGGTCTGAACCCATTACTCTCTAACCTCTGGGTCAAGAGGAGCAAAAGTTTGGCTGTACATCCCCAGCATCTCTTACAATTTCTGAGACCCAATGGGAACTACATAAACATTTACTGAAGTCTGTTATCAGATTTCAAATCCATTGCAGCTCTAAGGCTCTGTGAACATGTTTTAGCAGTAGGCTGAACAGCTTCTGCACTTTTCTTGGTGCGGGGCAGAGACCTGGCGTGAAGGAAGAAATATCCCCTGGTATGTATAAAACTCTTGTCGGCCTTCTGAGATTCTTTGATTTTTAGAATGATTTCATTTCCCTGCCCCCTTTACATTATTATCTAAAACCTTTAGAACTAATTAGAAGTGGGAGGATCAAAGATGATATATTTTAAATTTGCTTCCCGCCTCACCCACTTAAAGTAAAGAATCCTGCATAGCCCATTAAGCTGGAGGTACTTGCTGACAGGAAGGAAACCATCTGGTGAACAACTTCTGTTAATTATGTTGGAACATACTAACGAGAATAAAGAACAGCCTTTAATGACCTTCCCCTTGGTGGCAGAGTCCACTGCCGAGTAGACAGTCATGGCTCGGAGCCAAAAGTTAATGGTTAGTATTGGCACCAAACACTCAGGCTCGCTAGTACTTAATAATCTCCCCTCGGTGGAGAAAGTATTTCAGGCATTCACAGCATAAATCCTCCTAGCACCTGCATGTAACTGAGCTCCAAAATAGTCATTTAGGGCATTATTTGGAATCCCTTAGTAAATGTGAATCTGGGTGTTACCTTCTTGGTATCTTTCTTTGCATTTGAACACATTGGATGAGGCCCACAAGATTTGCATTTTGTTTCAACCAATAACAATATTTAAATGTACTTGGCAGAGCATTGATACAATTATTTCATATCCTAGAGGGATAAAGATACACAAAAATAATTATCCTCATTATGACCTAGATGAGTTAATCATTTATAGTAATATATTTCTAATTCCACTTTACCCTTGGAAATCTAGGCAGCCCTGTGTCATCCATGCAAAAAGGCAGAGTTAAAGTTTCCACATTTATATCATGAGTGAACTATAGGTGCTGAAACATCAGTATCTTTGTTTCGTTCAGTGTTTCAGTATATAGTTTGAGGATTGTTTAGGTGGCTCACATACTGTGATAAGATTAAGTAAGATTTAAAAGAATGTTATTTAAAGTTGAAAATTTTAATATTAACATTTTTTTAAAGAACCTTTAAAAAGAACACAGGAATAGGAAAATAACCTCAAACCGACATGAGACTAGTATTCAAGTATGCCTGTCCTGAAATTTTACTGTTACTAGAAGAGGACAAACATGGCTGTAATCTTCCTAGTATCCAACCAGAAGAGGGAAACAAATACTTCAATAGGCACTTGGAGGGCTCAGGAAGAAGTTTTAAAAACATCCCAAGTATAAGAGTTTTCTATTATTAAAAATACTTTCAGCTGACTGTATCATCTAGTGCATTTATAAATGCATATGCATAAAAAAAGAAACAATCCTAGAAATTGTTCCTTCAAATCAGGTGGGAAATGTTATTCTAATAGAAATCTTAAATAAAAGTTCTGTAACTAGGAACTGTCAACATTTAACTCCTAAATTATAACAAATCTATAAAGAATATGGATCTGTAATATATTAAAGTTTAATAACCCCAGTTATTAGCCAAGAAACTGCTCTCCATATAATTTCTTGATGTATATTTAAGGCTTTTCATATGTATACCAAGAATATAATCTTTATAAAGGCAGGTATGTCCAAGAGTTTGCACAGAAGTAACAAAATAAAAGTTGTTTGTGCCTAAATCATCCCATCTGTGCCTCTTGGACAATACTCAATCCTCTTTGTAACCACATGCATCAAGCAATTGGCTAAATATCCTTGTAGACAGGATGTCTCCTATTTGCATTTGAAGTACTATTCTGTTTAAAATATAAATGCAATTAATTTGCATTATTTATTTAATCTGTCTTGTATACTAATGTCACTGTACTGAAAATAAATGTTAGGTCATTTTCAACATACCTCAAAATATTTTTGTGTTCAATGAATTTAAATGATTAAAAAAAAAAAACCACCCTCAATTTTCTTTGAAGCTTT